CAGCGTCTTTTTTGCGAGTTGCGACTTTGTCTTTCATACATCTAGACATCGTTTTGGTCAAGCGTTTTGCGGCTATGAGTAAGAGTAATCCGACCCCCCCTCCTTCTAGCGCCAAACTGTGGGAACTGAAATTCACACCTGTCGATTTCCGTTAAATAAGGAAAGTTAGGAAAATCCTAATTTTCCAGAGGAACCGGATCTCTGCGAAAGCCAACGACAAGTAACCAAGAACGCGATTTATATGAATAAATTGAAAGATATAAAAAGAAAAACGAGATTGAGAGCAAGAAGGATTCTTATTCCGAATTCGCGTAAGAACGGTTACAACGAGAGTTGCCTTAGCTGCGTGAGCCGTCGGCGAAATTCCTAGTTCTAGAAATCTAAGACTAAAACCCTAGTTGAGACGCAGCTCGATAACGAAAACGGAAAATTGCCTAAATGCTAAGTTTGGTGGTGAAAGCTCTGAAACCTCGTCCCTCAGCTTCTGCCCTATGCCTCCTCCTTATATACTCCTCCTTAGGCGGTTTTAGTCTTTCCATTTTGCTCGAAACCGAATATTTTGGGAACTTTCCATATCTGTCGATCCATCCTTTTCTTCTGCGGAAATCTTCTATTTATCTTCAAACTTGACTTTTATCTTCCGTCTGCGAGTATACCGTCAAAGCGTTATCGTATCTCTTCGGGTTTGATTTCGTTAACGTCGCGAGATGGGTCTTTATCGTGTTTTAGGACCTTTCGGGCCGTTTTACGATAAAAACCGTTTTACGACTTTAACGAGACCGTTTCCTGATCCGATGCCGTTTTTTTTTTACGATTCTCTCGACGTTTTTTTATTAAAAACGCGTTTTTTTATAATCTTAACGAAGAATCTCAGATAAATCGTATAGTTTAGGCGACGTTTGGTGTTTTGATTAACCGTTACCGTTTTATACGATTTCTTCGAGTTCTTTTCGGAAAAACGGAGTTTTACGGTTTTTATCGTAAAACTCGAACGATAGGACGGATCGAGACGAAACGGGAGACATTTCGACCGTGATTCAGAATACGATCGTGTCGAAGGACGTATGCCTTGAATCAAGGATGTGGGAGATCGAGGCTCGGGATGGTCGACTCGACGTACGGCGAGCTAGTTCAGCTTGGCTAGGTCGCCATATGGCGAACTAGGCGAAAAGAACCAGTGGGGCAAAGTCAGCACCTCTTAGTTCGCCAAATGGCGATCTATCCGGGACGGGACTAGTTCGCCCATCGGCGATCTAAACCGGGCCGGCTTAGTTCGCCGATGGGCGAACTAGTCGAGTGCCTCCTAGTTCGCCCATCGGCGAACTAGACGAGTGCCTCCTAGTTCGCCCATCGGCAAACTAAGCTGGCTCAGCTTAGTTCGCCCGTGGGCGAACTAGTCGTGAGTAGTTCGCGTTTTACGGATGTTTCGGTTTTTTGCGGTTTCGTAAAACGATTCTTCGAGTTTTATAAAACGATTCTCGAGTTTTATAAAACGATTCTTCGGGTTTTATAAAACGATTCTTCGAGTTTTATAAAACGATTCTCGAGTTTTATAAAACGATTCTTCGAGTTTTATAAAACGATTCTCGAGTTTTATAAAACGATTCTTCGAGTTTTATAAAACAATTCTTCGAGTTTTATAAAACGATTCTCGAGTTTTATGAAACGATTCTTCGAGTTTTATAAAACGATCTTCGAGTTTTATAAAACGGCTTATCGAGTTTTATAAAACGATCTTCGAGTTTTATAAAACAGCTTCTCGAGTTTTATAAAACGGCTTCTCGAGTTTTATAAAACGATCCTCGAGTTTTATAAAACGATCCTCGAGTTTTATAAAACGATCTTTGAGTTTTATAAAATGGCTTCTCGAGTTTTATAAAATGATCCTCGAGTTTTATAAAACGATTCTCGAGTTTTATAAAACGACCCTCGAGTTTTATAAAACGATCTTCGAGTTTTATAAAACAGCTTCTCGAGTTTTATAAAAAGATCTTCGATTTTCATAAAACGATCTTCGAGTTTTATAAAATGGCTTCTCGAGTTTTTGTAAAATGATCCTCGAGTTTTATAAAACGATCTTCGAGTTTTATAAAACGGCTTCTCGAGTTTTATAAAATGATCCTCGAGTTTTATAAAACGATTCTCGAGTTTTATAAAACAATTCTTCGAGTTTTATAAAACGATTCTCGAGTTCTATAAAACGATTCTTTGAGTTTTATAAAACGATTCTCGAATTTTATAAAACGATCCTCGAGTTTTATAAAACGATTCTCGAATTTTATAAAATGATCCTTGGGTTTTATAAAACGATTCTCGAGTTTTATAAAACGGTCCTTGAGTTTTATAAAACGATCCTCGAGTTTTATAAAACGATTCTTCGGGTTTTACAAAACGATTCCTTTTATATTTCTGCGGGGAGTTTCGTCCGTCGATTCCGTCGTACCGATTCTGACCCCAACAAATACTATAAGTAGGAATCGTGTGAAGTCTTATTTTATACTCACTCTCCCGAAAGTCCCGCACTGCCGTGAATTGGTCCTGCGATATGGATCAAGGTCATGAAGACACGATGATGGAGTCGCACCCTGGAGACCGTGTAACTGCATGCAGCGTTGGATGTTCTATCTTGGAATATCTGATGGAGATGATGGTTATATTTATTCCCGCTTTGTTCGGTTAGCCTTGGTGGTTTTTCGGGTTTAGCATATATATATATTATGAGTATGAGTGATTGGCGGGTATCGTGGAGGTGATGTTTAAGATGGATTCTCATTGATCGAATGATAGGCCTTATATATATATAGTTATGGAATATATTTCCACTACATACAAATGGAGTTCACTGTCGGGATATTATTAATATGTGTTGGGGTGTGGGATTAGACTCACTGAGCAAATAGTTACTCATGACTCATTTGTGATGCAGGTAACCAGTAGGCCGGAGACCTTTACTATAGGACGTGAAGGAACGGCTTCAGCCAGCGGTAGATTTATTATCCTTGCAAAGTCGTTTCATATATCTTATGTATAATGTTTGTTAACCGAAAACCTCGAGGTTAATATTTAATGATTTGTAAGATGCTTTTGAAAGAATATTATATAATGTATAAAGAATGTTTCTTTAAGTATGGGTTCCATATGATATTAGTCCTTTTCCAGAGGAACCAACTATTGGGTATTACTCGGTCGGGTTGCAAAGCCTTGGGTTGTACCTAATAGGATATGTGTACTTTGGCAATTGGCTTAAGGTACTTGGATTTATTCCGGGAACTTTGAGTTAATCGTTTATGTGCACATTGTGGCTTCTTTGTTTTGGTTTAAGTTACTAGTTATTGGCTGTGCATGTTCTTGTTTGATTGTTGCACAGCCGGTTGAGTCAACTTGTACTTAGACCAGATCGGGGGTGTCACACCGATCAAGGACATAAATATCGTTCAAGGTACCTGGCGGTCACGAGTGTCATATCCACAGATCTTGCGATGCGACAACCTCTAGGACATTTTCGGCTTGCTAGAACCATGACAGGACTGGTCTTTCCAAGAGTGTGGACAATTTTTCCACTCCCAATGCATATAGTCAATGCTTCCTATCATCCCAGGAAAACCGCGATCCTCTCCAATATCAAGTAGTCGTTGAAGATCCTTTGGTGTGGGTCTTCGTAGGTACTCATTTCCGTATAAATGTATGATGGCTTCAGTAAATTTTTCCAAACACAACAAGGCAGTGCTCTCACCCATGCGGAGATATTCGTCAACCATGTCACCCGCACAACCATAAGCTAACATATGCCAACTAACTCATGCGTAATAACTCACTAGATAGATAACTAACTCATGCCTAATTACAACATTTTTTCCATCAGTTTAAGCTTAAGGGACATCTCCATCTCAGAAAGAGGCTCAGCCTTCTCAAGTAACTTCTCCAACAACTTCTGCTTGTTTAGCTTATCTTTCAGTTCCAACACATTTTTTAACTCTACTACAGACTCCTCCTGACTACCTTTCTTTTTCTTAGCCGCTTTAGCAGCCTTCACACCCAGAAGCCTTCCACCAGTAACCTCCTCTTCGCCTTCAACTGCACTACCAACATTCTTCCGCTTCTCTTTTGCACCATCCTTACCATGATACACAGAGCTCCATTTCTGGTCATGCCTGAGCTCTCTCCAAGCATGCTCTACAGTGAACTTACAGCCATAGTCATTGCAGAATATGTCAAGTGCTTTCTTCATCACATCATTATCATTCCAATCACTTGATTAGTCCCTCAAAGCCGCATCATAGGAACCACATAATTTGCAGACTAGGTCATTAAGTCTTCCCCACCTTTGCTTGCACTGACTTAGCTCCCTTGGGTCCAACCCAGCAGGCTGAGCACTTGCATTGTAGTATTCCTGGATCCTTCTCCAAAAAGTACCACACTTCTGCTCATTACCAACAATTGGGTCCTTGCTTGTGTTGAGCCATGCGGAGATAAGGATGACATCCTCCTTCGGAGACCCTGTCCTCCTCTCCTTGACAGTTGCAGCTTCTGAACTGTGGCTGCTAAAGGCTGGAAAATCCGGTGAGTTCAGGTTCACAAACCCTGGACTGCTAGAGTCTCCGGTTTGGCTGGTTCATAGACTAACAAACCCTGGGGAATAAGAAGCCATTTGCCAAGTTTATGGGTTTTGGTTCGTTTAAGTGTGGTGTTTCTATTTCTGTGTGGCTCTATTTAACTAGGGTTCTTTACTAACTGATGTATTTAATGTCTAACCTAATATTAACCACCATCCTACGAAAGTGAACATAGAGATTTAAAGACCAATCAAGTTAATGCAGATAGCTTTTATGTTTTGTACTTGAGTTTTTTAACATTAGTTTTCAACTAGCGTTTTTAACTAAAGTTTTCAAGTTCAGTTTTGTAACTAAAGACCAATCAATGCAGTTTTAACTAAAGTTTTCAAGTTTAGTTTTTAAACTTAAGTTTTCAAGTTTTCAATCAAGTCAATGCAGGTACCAGTTTTAAAGACCAATCAATGCAGTAGAAAGATAGAACACAATCAATGCTGCATACTCAAGCTCAGACACTCGGGCAATGAGCTTCTCCACCTCTGCCTTAAGCTCATGATTCTCGACTTCCAACTTTACCACCATGGATTTATGCTCTTCAAGTGATTCCAACCATGTTTTCAAGATCCCTAGCTCTTCCTCGACTACACAGACCCAGGACTGCCTGTAATGTATTCCATCATCCTACATAAATAAAACAAGTCTGAATAAATATTGTAACAAACCTAGACTGACAGAAATATAAGCAAGTCTGATTAAATATTTAGCCACAGATAATTGCAAGTTTCAAACTTACTTTGTACTTGCTGCAGGTGAAGAACCTCTTCCCTGGTAGGTAGTCAAAGACTTCTGCTGGAGCTCTCTCGCGCACTAAGCGTTCCCCACATACACACCTTTCTTGAATACCTTGCATTGAGTTTGTAAGAAAATGAAGACTATCGTAGAGAGCCTTATTCGCCTTCATAGATCTCCTCTCTTCATTAGGATCCATTATCTAACCTGCAATAGTGTGAAAAAGTATAGATCAGACAACCATAGGCTAACATGATTCTAACATAAGCTCTTCTAGGAATCAAACATATGCTCTAACAACAACTCCTAATCTTTCTCATAAACTCTAACAACTACTCCTAAATCAAACATAAACCCGTAATCGAAATCAACCAAAGCCCCTAAACGTAATCAATCAAAGCCCCATATCGAAATCAAAACAATCCCCATATCGGAATCCCAAATCCCCTTCGAACCCTACCGAAAACCCTAATTTCATATTGATCCCCAATTCGGAAAGAAACCCAAAATCGATCTTCTAACCTAATCGAAAACCCTAATCTACTCGAAAACAAAACCAAAAGAGGAAAGCCCCAAATCGAAAACCCTAATTTCATTTTGATCCCCAAATCGTATTTAAAAAACAAAACCAACCAAAAACTTGAGACAAACAGAAGAAGAACAAGTAGAAATCCATAGATGAACACTAAACTTCTCAGATAAAATAGCACAACTCGATTTACCTTAAACGATGAAGATCGCCGACTCGTTGACAATATCGCCTTCTCTCCTTTTTTTTTCTTTTGGTCGCGAGAAATGAAGAGATTATTTGATATCTCTCGCAAAATAAACCGGACAACGAATGGCGATACACCACGTCGTTCTGAACTCGGGTCCAAAAACATTCTTCTAAGGGGCACCTCTAATTTTTTTGGCCCATTATATTGTTTTATAATCGAATTCGGTTTCGGGCCTTGCCTATGAACCCTTGCTGAACCCGCGTTGGAGCTGGTCTAAGGGAGCCTTCTTTCGAATCCTTCTCTCCTCTTTCCAACTCGAAAAATAGGGAGATCAAGGGTGCCCCAAAATGATGTGATAAGCCAATCTCCAAAGGACACTATATTAAATAGAAACAAAAACAATTTTTCTTAAATTTGGAAAACACGGAAATGACATAAAACCTGAGAAAAGTTGAAGTATTAACAATTTGTATCAGGGTATAACCCATCAGCCCTGACCCGACCCAAATTTATAGGCAAACCAATTGAACTGAATCGTCTAACCGTGTAACCATACTAATCAACCGAACCAATCCTTTAAAACCAAACCAAATCTGTCAGTTTTAGCAAACCCTTTTAATTTATTTATTTTCGAGATCCAATTATTGGAAACCTTTCATTTCTCCCTTTTTTTTCCTTTTTTCTTCACGAGAGAAAACCTTAGTTCTCAAAATCAACCATGTGAAAATCGAGAAGGAGATAGAATTCGGAGAAATCTATCTAATTGCAATGGTGGTCGAAGCGAGACAGGGTAAGAGGAAAAATAATCCAACGGAGGAAGAGGCTTCGAGAAGGAAGTTTTTAAGACGGCTTCCGAAGAAAATATGGAGATGACGATGATGGAGAAAAGTGAAACAAGGGTGGTGGAGATTGTTGAATCGACGGCAAAGACGACAGATGTCTCGACGGAGAAGACGACGGATGTCTCAACGAAGAAACGGTCGATGTCAGAAGACGAGAAATGACTTGACGGAGTATACGGCGGAGATAACAGAGCCGAGTAATGTGGCTGCAGAAGCTGCTCCGACGACACTAAACAAAGGTCCTGCTCGCCCATCTCCTCCAGGTCCTCCTGCAACTCCGGCGATTGGGACCGCCTGTAAAGATGAAGAGAATGAAAAAACCGCTTCTGGAGATGACGAGAATGAAGAAACTGATTCTTGAGATGAAGAGAATGAGAAAATCGCATCTGGAGATGAAAAGAATGAGAAAGTCGCTTGTGGAGATGAAGAGAGTGAGGAAACCGCTTCTGAAGATGAAGAGAAGGAGGATTTCGATGAGTTTGCATGTAAGTCGTAACATATGATTAGGGAGAGTTAGTAATTTGAGTGTGTTAATGTTAGTAATACTAGGAGAACTATAGGAAAAACTGTCAGTTTTGGTAGAAGATAAGAAAACTGAAATTTTGTAAACGGATCCGTGGTATTACTTTGATATGCTTTACTATAACTTGGGTATAACTTAGTATAACTTTAGTATAACTTGGATATAAATTTGGTATAACTTGCAGGATTTGAATGGAAATGAGGCACCCGAGGCAATCAAACCAACCAGAATGTTCTTCAATCCATCTGAGTACAAGAAAAAAATAAAGCTAGGGGCAAACTGTATGATAGCTAGCGCGATTAAAACGCTAAGTAATCTTAAACCCAAGCTGTCTAACGCGGAGTGGAATTGGTTCATGGAGCATCCTCAATTCAGACACATTTTCCACATGAAAAGAGAGAAAAACCACATGGTTCAGGGAATATGGATATTGTTGCTGCGTAGTCCCAATAGCGATAAGCGGAGAGAAGTGTGGTTCATTTTGAATGGCATTCCCATCCGTTATGGACTGAGGGAACACGGTTTGCTAACTGGGCTATTCTGCCACAACTATCCTCTCGGCTACAAAGAGCTTGGTGGGACCAAGTTCATTGATAGACATTTCAAGGAAGGAGAACTTAGAAGGTTGGAGGATGTTAAGAAGAAGCTGGTGGAAATGGGACCCCACAAAGACAGACTGAAGATGGCGGATATTCTTCTTAGCTTTTATTGTTTGCGCGCAAACAAAGGCTGGACACAAGGCTAATGATGTGTTGGAGGTGTTCCAGAGAGCAGTGGATGATCTTGACTACTGCAAGTCCTTCCCATGGGGGAGATTCTCCTTCGATTACATGCTGAAGGAGATCTCTCACAAAATGGAGCATTTTGGAGGGGTTGTGAAAGAGAAAACATTATGGCCTCTTCCACGTTTCTGCGTTCCACTAGAGGTATGTAAAATCCCATTAATGAGTTGATTGCTATTGTTATTTACTGATGGTATTACATAAATGTTGTGTTTAATAGTTTCTTGCATTCGAGGCAATTCTTAAGCTAGGAATGGAGTTCAGAGAATCTGTTGAAGGAGCTGATGTCAACTGCCCGAGGATGTACAAGTTTTCATTCAAATGAAATGGAATGACAGGGGTGTCACTTTCTGTGATAAACAAGGAATTGCGTAACATAACTGTAAGTTTTCATGTGAACTAAAGTAGAACCAGAGTAAAACTGTGGTAAAACTAGGGTAAAATTAAAGTAAAACTAGAGTAGAGCTATGGTAGTACTAACGTAGGAATTTTTTGTTACTCAGAGTAGAACTAGGTAGAATTAACGCAGGACTGTGTTGCTAAGTTTCAAAATTAATTGTGTTTGTGACATGATATTGACAACATCATCCTCTTCAGAACTGCACAAGAAGAAAGGCTCATGGATGCCATTTTGGAAGATGAAGACGATGTTGACGATTATGATATAGTTGTGGAAAGTTGAGAGAAGTGTCTGGATGCAGGATGTAAGGTCTATTTTGAAGAAATGCACGAGGAAGATGAAGCTGCGCGAAAAAAACAGGTAGAAGCGATTGAAAATGCAGTAGGGGATGGAGTAGAGGTAAGTGGGCAGTCGATTCAACTGGGAGATCTTATGAAGTTTCTGAAAAGAACGATGAAACTTATAAGGACAGTTGACAAGAAGGTTGACCACTTGGATAGGAGATTGGCGCCGCTTTAGGAGTTTGTCAAGGAAACACAAGGTAAAACAGCAGCAGAAGAAGAAGCACCAGCAGAAGGGAAAGCAAAGAAACAGAAATACCGGAAGAAGTGAAGTAGAGTGACGAACTTGCAAAATGGTGTGTTAGAACTTCTTTTGATGTTTTATATGAAGTAGACAAACGATGTCTTTTGATGTGTTTCGTGTTTGTGATGTGGATTTAGAACTTTTAACTATGTTATGACTATATATGTGATTTTTTATTGTTTTTGTTGTGTAGTTCGAGTGAGAGTGAGAGCTAGTAGTAATAATGGTTGATGATGAAATCCATTTACTAGGGAATTAGTTTATAAGAATTTTAATGAAGAAAGAAAGGTTTAAGATGAACATAAGAGTGCTTAACATAAGAGTGCTGAACATAACACAAGAGCTTAACATAATTAGAGTGCTTAACATAACATAAGTTTGAGCATAACATAAGATAAGATTCAAGAGTAGCTTGAATCATAACATAAGTTTTTGAACACATAAACTTATACAAGTCTTAACAAACAAAGACTAGTATTAACCGAAATAATAAAAGTAGATAGGTAGGGAATACAAAGTTTTTAGCACATAAACTCAGAACTTGAGAATTGAGAATCTCATGTACTAGAGGTCGAGGTAATAAGCCTTTTAAGCTTAGCAATCTCTGCAGCCATATCATCCACCTCCCTCCTTAGGCGATGCACTTCTTCCTGAACACTGAAAGCCCATGGCTGACAAAAATGCATCCTATCGTCCTGCATAGTTTCACCCAGAGTATTATCCAGTTCTAACTAAGTATTACAGAGTTTCAAACAGTATATCTCAGTTTTACAACGAAAACACAGATAAACGATAATTACCTCATAATTATTACAGGTGAAGTGCCAGCTCCCAGGCAAGGTATCGAACTCTGATTTGTACTTCGGAAGTGGATAAACATTATTTATTATTTCACCACCACATGGGAAACATGTAGTGTTTCTTCAGCCTCTTCATCTCCTTCATCTCTTCATACAGATGAGTCATGTTCATTAAAAGGAAAAGAGTAAGTAAAATTGTGGATCACTACAGGAAATGTGGGTATTAATAGCATCGTAGCTTAGCGTTTTTGTCATTTCTGCTATTGTATACCAACATTTGTTTTTTTAATAGCGTTTTTCATTTTAAAACGCTATACTTGTTATCGCAGGAAAAAAATTAGGCGCGTTAATTTGCTAAGTGTAAACACCTTAAGATTGCATATCCAAAATCAAATGCTATTGTATATTGATTTCCCCTTCATCCTTGTTTCATTTTCCCTTTCACTTAATTTTTTTTGCCTCCAAATGTAACAATTGTGTTATTCATATACTTTTTTGGGTTATAGAACGGAGAATAAACGAAAGAAGAAGTAAATCTAAATCTGGACCTTCATGATTTCTTCTTTGTTTTATCTCTCCCTGAAAAAAAAACTCTCTTGCTTAGGGTTCTTATCATCATTCTCTGTCTCTGGTTCCAAAATCAGTATTGAAACATTTGGTTTTGCCGCCGACTCTACGACAATCGTCGGCAGCCACAACGAGTTGTCAAATCAAACAGAGGTGGAGTTAGATTCGTTTTATAGATGTCCTCTTAACTTTGACGAAGAAAACGACCGTTGGGTTTAGGTTCGAGCGATTGACGAAGAAGACGTCTGTTCCTCCACCCCTCTCTCTTTCTTTCTTTTGAATCCAATCTCATCTAGCGATTGTTTTTATTCGGTACGAGCGAATCCTTATCGATTGCAAGATCCATGTGATCTGAGGTTTACTCCAAGAGAGAAGATGTATGAGATTGTCAGACATAGAAGCTATCTCCATCATCTCCGTCACGTTTATTACGTTAATGGCTCCGGTGATGAGTTTGTATTCACAAATGCACTTTTTTATTACATTGCTGCGTATTCTTTCCGTGCTTTACTTCTGCTTGGTCGGGTTCACAGGGCTTTTACTCATTCTTGTGTGGCATGTAAGTTTTACTTTTCTAATTGAGATATCTCTTGTGGGTGATTTATGTGTGTTTGTTTCTTCTGTTGTTTCTCAGGTGATGGTTTACTTAACATCTGAATCTCAGGCCAATTCAAGTTTTTGTCTTTTCAAGTGATTTGGTGAAGGCTGGAGCTTGGTTACAGAAGATATATATTGTATGCAGGGTTTCATGTTCTAATTGATGTATGTATTGGCTAAAGTTTGTCTTTTTTCTTGTTCTTAGTCTGCTAGACTCTGCCTTGTTTATTGTTTTCTTCTTTTTCAATGGTTCTACTTCAATGGCATATCATATCTAAAGTTTGAGGTGTTTTTGAGTTTTGTTTCCAGGGAAATGAAGATCTTATCATTGTCCATCAAGCTCTCAACTTTGGAGACTGTCATCTCTCCCTTTCGGTAGGTTCTACTTCTAGCATGCTTGTGGTGTTATCATCACTATAGATGACTTCTTGAGTGCTCTTTTTCATACGATTTCAGATACCAAGTTATGGGATATTTGAGAATATAACTTCTCTCAAGGAGCTCGCACAAATGCCTCAATGGACTGCGGAAAGACCCTTTACGAGTTTCTACATGATTCACTTATGTATATTCAGTTACAACTGCTACTTCGGTGCATTAATGTCCGTTGAAATTTTGTTCAGAATGTAATTTGATTGTTTTGGAATCATCCAATTTGTGTTTGCAGCTAGGCCCTAAATTCATGAAAGAGAGTGGTATAAAGCACATGACTTTTTCAACTGCAGACGGAGTCCTAGAGACAGCTCCTGCGGTGAGATTTTATTCTATCTGCATCTCAGCCTTAGAATTCGACTTATGTTACCCTATTAGACTCTTCCATACAGAGGCTTGGATTTGGTATGAAAATATGGAGTTTATTTAGAACTTTCTGCAAGAGAACCATCTTATTGAAGGGTTACTCATGATTTCTTTTCTTGTTAATTAAATGGGAATAGCCGGTGCCATTTTAGACCTTGTGAGCAGTGGGACAACTCTTAAAGAGAAAAACGTGAAATAGATTGAAGGAGGAGTGGTTCTGCAAAGCCAGGTTTGATATTGAAAGATATATGGAGTTAATTATTGTTCTAAACTTAAGCAACTGTTTCACCAGATATGCTATGAAGAGAGTCCAGATTCAGTCATCTTTTACTTGGAAAATGATCAAATATATTAGTTAGTTTATGTGGCGATCTTCCCAAAATAGTCTTGTGATGATATTTTCTTGCACAGATTAAACAATCTTGTGACTGAGGCGCTACAGTTATAGAAAAGAGTTTCTGGAAAATGTGTAGATGGTCCTGCAGATGAGTCAAAAAGGAGGCATCCAATAGTTCAATACTCTCACCGGATTCTACTTCTGAAACAAAAGGAGGTCTTCCTGGAAAAGCAATAGTCATGTGGAAGAAAAAAGCACCTGCGTTAAGTGACACCTGTCCCAGTGTCTAGCAAGAAGAACAAAACATGGACAAGGGTTCATTGGCTCAGTAAAATTAATACGGAACACAAAACAGAACATGGAGGAGCTGATGGAGACTATTGTGAATTAATGAAATGGCATTAGAAATGAAACCCTAAACCACAAACTTATACCCTAAATGTGTAAATTTATAAGCAAATTTTGATGATTTGCAAATTAAAAAAATGAAACTCTAAACCACAAACTTATACCCTAAATATAATACCCTAAACTCAAACTTAATTCCGATATACAAAGTCATAAATCTAATCTTTTCAAACTTATTATAATAATTTTAAACTAAAACTCCAAATATATTCCAAAATTTAAACCATATACTAAATTCTAAATCTTATCAAAACCCTAAACCACATGCCTCATACTAACATATAATACAAACCCTACATATACCCTAGCCCTACTTATAACTCCAAACCCTACATCATATTCTAAACTTTATACAAAAATTATTAAATCATAACATTTGAAATTTATAACACTTATTTTATACTAAATTATGAAATTATACAAAGTATAAAATCTAAATAAAATCAGCATATTCATAATATAACTTCATTCCCTAAACTCCAAACCACATACCTCATATTGACCTATATAACATAAAACATTAAATCCTAAATTTTAAATAAATTATAGTTCCCTAAAAAAAAAATTCCAAATAAAAATTGATATTTTAAATTATGATATCAAAGTATTTAAAATTCAAATAATTTTTATAATATTTAAAGATAAATAAAAAACAATATATATTGTCTTTTTTGAATCATTGATTCATTCGGATCAAGGTTCCAAAATAACTCTTGTGTTTATCCTCATTTTTTTTTTCTTATTGGTTTACTTGATGACATGGATAACCATCTCCAGCGTTGGATATGATAACCATCTCCAGCGTTGGATATTATAAAACCCGAAGATCGTTTTATAAAACTCGAGAATCGTTTTATAAAACTCGAGAATCGTTTTATAAAACTCGAGAATCGTTTTATAAAACTCGAGAATCGTTTTATAAAACTCGAAAAGCCGTTTTATAAAACCCGAAGGTCGTTTTATAAAACTCGAGAATCATTTTATAAAACTCGAAAAGCCGTTTTATTAAACTCGAAGATCGTTTTATAAAACTCGAGAATCGTTTTATAAAACTCGAAAAGCCGTTTTATAAAACTCGAAGATCGTTTTATAAAACTTAAAGATCGTTTTATAAAACCCGAGAAGCCGTTTTATAAAACCCGAAGATCGTTTTATAAAACTCGAAGATCGTTTTATAATACTAAAAGATCGTTTTATAAAACTCGAAGAATCCTTTTACGAAACCGCAAAAAACCAAAACAGCCGTAAAACGCGAACTAGTCACGACTAGTTCCGGCTTAGTTCGCCGGTGGGCGAACTAGAAACTTCCTGGGCGTCCCGAGCCTCGGTCTCCCGCATTCCCGATTCGAAACTTATGTCTTTCGATACGGTCGCATTCTGAACCACGGCCGAAACATCTCCCGTTCCATCTCGATCCGACCTATTGTTTGAGTTTTACGATAAAAACCGTAAAACCTCGTTTTCTCGATAAAAATTCGAAGAAATCGTATAAAACGGAAACGGTTAAACGAAACACCGAACATTGCCTAAACCATACGATTTATTCGAAGTTTCTCGTTGAATTCATAAAAAATGCGTTTTTAATAAAAACGTCGAGTGAATAATAAAAACGTGTTTATAATAAAAAGTCGAGTAAATCGTAAAACCTTACGATTAGCTCGAGGAATTTATTAAAAACGACATCAGATCAGGAAACGATCCCGTAAAAAAGTCGGAAAAATGGATTTATCGCAAAACGGCCGGGGAGGTCCTAAAACGCGATAAAAACCCATCTCGCGATCTTAACGGAATCTAACCCGAAGATTCGATAAAGTTTTGACGGTTTACTCGCAGAAGGAAAATAAAAGTCAAGTTTGAAGATAAAAGGAAGGTTTGAAGAAAAATAGAAGATTTCCACGGAAGAAAAGGAAGGATCGAGAAAAATGGAAAATTCCCGATATAGTCAAATCTGGGCGAAATGGAAATACCAGATGACCAAGGCGAGGAGTATATAAATAGGAGTCTAAGGCAGAAGCAAAGGACACGAAATTCAGAGCTCTCACCACCAAAATTAGCATTTAGGAATATTTCCGTTTTCCTGTTAGCGAGCTGCGTCTCAATTAGGGTTTTTCGTTCTTAAGTTTTCGGCTACTCTCTTTGTACCAGTTCTACCCAGATTCGGAATAAGAACCTTCTTGCTTTCTATCTCGTTTATTTTCGTTTTAATTTTAAAGTTCATCGTTTTCTTAAAATTCGTTGTGCGGTTCTGCAGATAGCCGGTTCCTCTGGAAACTTAGGGTTTTCCCGAAGTTTCCTTATTTACGATTATTTGACAGTAGGTGGATTTCGACACCCACAGTTTGGCGCTAGAAGGAGGGGGGGGGGTCGGATCTA